CTGAAATCTTAGGGGGTGTTCCCTGTCTAAGTGGGTATTAACGAGTTCAAACCCTGCCCGCGGGTAGGTGTGGTACCTGCGTATGGGCCCGTGAAAGTTTATTCCGGGCAAGTTGCTAACTCGAGAATGTGGGAAGCTAGAAGACTAGAATTTTGAAGGGATGTTTTCTGACAGTTCTGGTGTCCAGTCTGGAATTCTTTTAGCTAGAAGCATCTACCGGAAAAACCAGTGCCGTTAGCGACAAAAATCTGCTGGGAGCTATGCATAAAACGCGTCTTCGCGCTGGCAGTCCGTGCGTTGGCCAGTTATTCTAACTAGTAAAAAACCAGCAGTTGTAATTTTGTGTAATATATCTAACTTCATCACAGATCCTTTCAGGAAAGCAACCGGACTACTGGTATGCGTACAATGAGAGTATACCATTCTTGACACGCGTTGACAAAGTAAATAAACAATAAATGTTTCCAATTTTGTAACGAATTCTGCATTAACGAAAGGGAACAGTTTCTATAAAAATTATTGCTAAGGATTTTTTTCTAGCAGACTGCAGGTAGTAAAACGAACAAAGAGCACTTTAGTAGTGGAAAGGGCATAATTGTTGAACGGTCGTCGAGACGTCGAAAACGCATAGTCGGGGCGAAAAAATGACACTGAGAGCAGAGCTGAACCTTGATAAACCAAAAAATTAGCCGCTGGTGCTTCTGCACCCTCCAGCTAATAATCGATAGTTTTATTAAAAAGAGGCTAATGTGGGCCAGAGAACAAAGGCTAATGTCTATACGATTTGTCTGATCCAGCGAGTTGAGAAGCAGCTGAATGGCGCTTGATTAAATTTAAACGAGTTTAGCGCAACTTGGATGTCAAACTGCTAAAAAATTTGCGCTGGTAGCTGTGATCGATAGAAATTACAGATTACGGATGAATTTACGGCTTTCTAGGTAATCGAATGGCTAAACCTTCCCGAATCCGAACGACCCACGCTCATCCATGTCTATTTTGACGAACCAGATAGTGCAGGACATGATGCTGGTCCTGATGCTGATGAGGTACTGCATTTTGCTCAATTTCTTTCTTGAAGCAGTTTTAAGCGGTTGAAGGGCAGAACACACCATATGAAGACTGGTTCAGTATTTTGTCTGTGTATTTGTATACAAGAGAGTGTATTGTTTGAATGTATGAACTTAAAATTACCCTTACATCGACAAAAGAGCTGGTAAAAATAGGCAAAGTTAATTTTATATACACAAACTTTTAGAAGCAAAAGGCAATCTTATTTTCTGAAAACATATCTGGCATGCATGTCGTAGTGGGATAGCACTGTTGTGTGATAGGTCAAAGGTTCGACTTTGCAAATGGGAGACTCAGTCCCTTTACGATTTGTTTTGATGGTAAGTTAGTGTATGTAAAAGCGACCATTTCTGGTAAGACCATAGATAACTCCCTCCAGATAATGCAGTACATGGCTGCGCCTAAGCTTTATTTCCTGGCATTCCGAGAAGGCATTATTACATTTTGTCCAAATACTCACTGATGGCACGATTGACTAGTTTTCAACAAACTACAACAACATCATTTGGCTTGAAAACGTTGTAACTTTGAGTTTATTCGCCACCTAAGTATTGCAAATAGTTTCCAGCTTGAAAATTCTAGTACAAACTACTTTTCGTATTTCCCCTCTTATAGCTGGTGTTATGGCGTGAATTTTTCTAAGGATGCATTTGCGGCAAATCCTGTACGGGATCATTTTTGGTATGGTTTTGTAAAACACAGAGAGGAGAGAATTGAAAAATGCCTATTTTATTATAATTTAGAATTCCAACGGGGAGTAAGTTTACTGGGAAAAGATTAAATTTTTGTAGTGCAGTTGTTTTTGTGCAAGTAAAATGAAAATCTTCATACGAACTCGAAAAAACACATCTGCATTAGCTCCGACGCAAGAAAAGTTCATTCTGATAATTCAGGTTCGCACAGCAGTGATTTCGGTGGATGAAACAATAAATAATTTGACCAGGCGGCTGCTTGACGAAGGCTTAATGGGCTGCATCAATTTGATCCTTCTCTCTGGCCATGGTCTGATCTCTGCGCTTCTGTCAAAACAATTTTATGAAGCCTTATGAAATTCCTTGGGACTCACTAAATCGAAATTTCTCTTCGAAAATGGTGTTTTGCTCGGATTTTAGCAGAAAATCATCTTGGTTTTTGAATGATCCATTTTTAAAGTCTCAAATTTGATAAAAGCTAAATTAAATTAAGTGCTTTCTTTTCAAGAGAGCTAACTTCAGGAAGAATCTTGATTCTACAGTATAGGCCATAATTCTCTAAACGCATCAAAAAGCAATCAGGTTTTTCCCCTTTTATTCGTAGCAGAAGGAGCTGGAAGTGTCAGCAGTGCCATGAATGTCTAATACTAAAAACAGTTTATTGAAGAATTTTTCTCTTGCTGTTGCAGTTTTTACATTATTATATGTATCAAGTTTTACAGGTATGGAACGGATAAATTCATCACGAAATGTAGTCGCCATGGACTATCTGGGGGCAAATTTCAGTGATCTGTTTTTCGACGGTCCCGTTGCTAGAATACAGCTCAACAGCACTGCTGCTGAAGAGCCTGATGAAGGTCAGTTTTCACAGACAGCGCGGTGAATTTTTTTTACTTACTTCTTACTTTCTTAAGAGCATTCTACTAAAAAGAATTCCAAAACATTGAGAAAACCTGTCATCCAAAAATTTACGTACTGCATCTCTTCTTTTTGAGGTAACTCTTGGTGCAGAATTTACGAAGTATAGGTGATGGAAATTAAGCTAGAAAAGTGATAGTTCTAATTTTGTAGAAACTTATTAAAATCAGATGGATTTTATTTTTTCTTCTGCTAGATACTAAGGAGGCTGTTGATGGGATAATGGCCATGATGAGCTGCGAAAAAAATGAGAACTACCTACTATACAAGAAAAATTTGGTACCGCTACGATTTCACTATGCAGGCTCACCACGGATAGGTGAAGTTGTAATCGCAGGACGTCCCGGTGCACGTATTTTCTTGTAAGTTTTACTCTTTTGAAAAGAAAAGCACGAACTGCAATAAAGCCAACTGCGCCATATTTAGTTACAGATGTTTTCTCTCACATAATCTTTTTAGTTTTGTCTTTATAAAATCAGTTAGACCCTCGACAACCCATAAATTTGTTGAAAACTCTTGGTGCGAATTCAAACGTGTGAAATCAATAGCTATGTTCGTCTCGTCCGTGAACAGCTAAGGATTGTTATTTAAGTTATAAAACACGCGATTTCATTTTGTGGAAATGCCAGTGAGGGAATTGTCACTTTTTTTGAATCCTTGTTATTTGACTTCTTAGCAAACCGTCACTGTCCGGTTGCCGATCCGCTGCCATAGACAGGAAGAAGGCGAAGGGCTCATTTTTATCATCTTTCGTTCCCGCTTACTTCTTGTCTCCAAAATGCACCTGCTTGTTTAGCGTACACAACGTTTTCGCTTTTTCAGCTGCTTTGATTTTGCTGTATTACCAGTCTCTAGTCAAGCCGGCGTTGTTTCATCCAAGCCTAGTCGGGCAGATTCCGGCGCAGTACTTTCTCGGCATGCTTGAAGCCTCCTAGGCAGCACTCCGTCGTTCCTCAACGTTGCTTAATTTGCTGCTTCTCTGGGAGGGCATGGTTTGGGATTTTGTAGGTTATTATGAAACGACGTTCTTGGTATAGTTTGACTACATGAATGCATTAAATGGCTCCTTGTCATTATTTCTTCACTGGTTATATCTTGAAATCCACGCCACCGGTCCTATCTTGTGCTCGACTCGCCCACAATTTTCATGCAGTTCAGGTAGGTAGTGGAATCAAAACATCGGCGTCTTCCTATCCGCCTTTTTATGCGTTTTTACTGTACAGCGCTAGCGTGTTCTCCGGTCAAGTGCAACCCCAGAAGCGCGATATCAGCTATCGCGCACATGTGCATCTCACGTACGAGTAAGTTAAAGTTTTAAGGAAAAAACTGCTAACTCGGGGACAAGAAAAGTTAAAAAATTGGGGTTTTTCTGTAAATTTTCCCTACTCATGTACGATCAGAAGATTTCAAATTCAGCTTACAGAACCGCCGAGACTCATGCACGGGTATTTAGTAATTTTGGCGGAAAATTGCCAACTAGAAAACAAGAAAAGCTAGAAAGTTGGAAATTTAGGATAATTTTTCTTACTCATGTGTGATTAAAAGGTTTCAAGTGCAACTCCTTAGAACCGTTCGGGTCTCACGGGTCTAACTTAAAGAAACATGAAAAATTTTACCAGAAGACGGCTAACTTGGGAAAGAGAAAAGCTGGAAAACTAGAATTTTAAAGGGATGTTCCGACTAAAAGATTTCAAATCCAACTCTTCTCGTGGGGTCTTTTTCATGCATGAGTATCATTCCATTTGTTGGTTCACTGAAGCCGATATCTACAACTGAAATACCACAGAAATGAACAATTAACTTCTTGAACTTCAAAGATCAGCATGCCACAAATTCTAGCCACTGGGATTCCTTGCGATTTTGCTACAGCATGAAATAGTGCAAAGATGCATAATCGCACGGTGCACCTGATGTGTTCCAGACTGGGTTACATCCTTGCGGATGCCAACTGATAACACGTTCCATTCATCTATTGTCAGCTTTCCTTGCCAAATGGCCGGCCCAGTCTCTTCTCCATTCATCTATTATTTAATTAATGGCTGTAAGCGCACTAAGCTTTAAGCAAGTGATTACAAAGTAGTATATCGCGTATTCGTTCCCCAAGCTGTAATTCTTCTTTACGTTTAGTTTCAATCTATTCATCTAATCGGCATTTACAAAAGCCTGTCATTTTCCAGCGTTGCATTTAGCATTATCTGAGCAGGGGAAGCATCCTGGGCAGATAGAAAAAAATCTTTCACAAGTTCCTTGAAAGCTGTTTCAAAAGGGCAGTTAGAATTTTGTGCTGGATAACAGCTGCACAAAACACATTGTCGCGGGGTTGTCAGTGTGTGTCTGTTTGCGGCAGCTTGTCGGTAACTTTCAACTCTGGAACCACAGAAGCTAGGAAGCCGAAAATTTAGAGGCACGTTTCATGCCCACATATGCCTCCTTAAAATTTAAATTCAGCTTTATAGTGTCTGCGGGTGCCACGCACAGCCCCGTAAAATTTTTGGTAAGCTACGGAATCCAGAAAGCTGAAGTTTTGGGACAACGACCCCCTGCACAACTTCGCAAATTCAAATCCAATGTCCCCTCGTTCTCGGGTATCGCCTACGGCTCCGTGAAAATTTTGGCGGGGAAATTATTATCTCGGGAACCATAAAATTCAGGAAGCTAAAATTTTACGCTAACGTTCCCTCCCCAAATACAATCCCTCAAATTTAAATCTAGCCTTCCCGCACTTTCAGGTATCACTTACGGCTCCGTGAATGTTTTGGCGGGGAAGACTATTATCCCCGGAACCAACAGGAGTTGGGAATTTGAAATTTTAAGGCGATGTCCCTTATCAGCGTGCGACTGCGCAGATTTGTATTCAGCCTTCACGCGCTCCTGGGTAGCACGTACTGCCTCGTAAAGTTTTGAAATTTTGACAGAGAAATTATTATCTCGCGAACAAGTAAAAGCTTGAAATTTGAAATTTTACGGTACCGTTCCTTACCCACACACAACTGTACAAATCAAAATTCAGCTTCTCGCGCGCGTGGGTGCCACTTACAGTCTCGTGAAAGTTTCGGCGGAGGAAATTATTATCTCGAGAACCACGCTGAAATTTTAGCGCAGTCACGATTCCGCAAATTTTAATCATCCCCTTGAAAGTTTTGATGGGAAAAATCATCATTTCGGGAGCCAGAAGAGCCATGAGGTTGAAAATTTCAGGAGAATGTTTCCCACTTAAGCATGGCTCCAAAACCTGAATTCAGTTAATGAATATGTCGAAGTCTCATGCACGACCACTTAAAGATTTTGTCGCAAAAACCACTCGAAATTCGAAAATCAGGAGTTTGAAATTTTGGAGGAATATTCACCTTTCGAGGTTTCACATTCAGCTTTCATATACCTTTGTGTGAAATTTTCAATGGGAAATTCAGTAACTAGGAACCAAATAATATTTTGAATATTTTTGCACAGACCAAAATGTAGAGCAGTGTAAATCCACAGCAGAAAAATGTTTGCTAGACGGAACTGCACAAAACGCATGATGGTACCGACTGCCATGGTGTACCTCACCATTTATTTATTAGAAGTATCGGAGTGTTTCTACCCACTAAATACTTCAAAAACTGCTCCATCGCCAAGGGAGGACTTTTTTCACTGAATGAATAAAGGACACTCTTGGAATTATTGAAGAAAACAAATATTTAGAACGGAAGAACAAAAGAATTCATATCAGTCAAATGGCGATCACGGATTCGACAATCGATTCGAAAGTATGCGAGCTATTTTCATTGCTATAGGACCGGATATCGCCGAAAAGACCGAAATCGATGCTTTTCAAAATATTGAACTCTATAATATATTCGCATGTAAGTGTGCAACCCTACATACTTTATGATTGGATAGCAAGGATTCGACTCCGCCAGTGGGACAACCAATCCCTCCTTGCCTCATTATTTGTTTTGAAAGCAAAACGGTATTGACAAATCTGCTCTTAAGCTGTTTCTGAGGATTACTCAAAATAGGAGCTACTGGTGACACTGTCAGCAATTATCGCTACTGGCATCTACTACCACTCATGCTGCTTCACATTGTTTTTGCCTTTATACAAAAGACAAAAACTGAATGCGGAAAGGGTTATTACTTTTTTCTTGTATTGACAACACCTTTCTCCTACTATTTGACGAGTCGAAGAACCTTCCAGAGAAAGCGGTGGTTGCCAAAAGCAAATACATGTGATTGAAGGGGTGTCGCGTTCATCTGACAACCTCGGGCTTTCTTGATATCTCTATCTTGAGTATTTGGAATTAGGATGGATTTCAATTCCGAGATTAAAGATCAGAACATTGTTTGGCAGAAAACTAATCTTCTTCTAATGTCTACCTCAAACTATGGAATGGAGTGAACTGCCAAAATTTGTGAATCGTTGTCTGTGTGGTTTTTGTTGCAAAATTAGTTTGATTTTTTGGGCCGAAGTCATATCAAAAATTAATCATGCAGAAGCCTACCTTGAACTTTTGGCTATTTCATAAATTAATTTCTCGAAAATTTTGAGCTCAAGTTTTTTTTTTGATTTTCAAGTTGGCCAAATTTGGACAGGGGTCGGAAGTCAGCACAAAGATTTGAGCTAATTTCAAATTTGTATATCGCGAACAGTCGAGGATTATTTTGGAAAATTTTAACCTCTAGCTTGGAAAGGGACTAAAGCAACGATCTTACACTGAAATGCGAAAACCTTTGACTGGTCATGATGCCATTTGTCTTGAGCGCCAGTTTATGTTTGATTGCCAACAATACATTCAGATCTACTGCGAGTGAATGCGTCACAGAACAACGGCACTAATGGAGCGCTGTTCAACATACTGCGCGATCCACCGGAATTGCTTGAAACTGCAACATTTCAAAGCCCCCCGGAATGTGAAGAAGTAAAGCAGGTACCTACTACTTCGTCTTAGAATCGGACATCAGCTGATTCTCTCCGACTCAACCCACCGCTTTCATCGCGAATTTACATAACCCAGTTGGATTTATCATATACGAGTTCCGTCTGCTAGCAGGATGGGAACATGAGGGTAAAAAATATGAGATAATGGTTGGAGACGAGAAAATGGACGAGGAAATCCAGCTGCAATGTGTTCACTAGTCCGCATTTCTTTAAAAATTAATGATAGCCCACTTTTTTGCATACTGTATTTTACATTTACCGGCATTATTTAAAGACTGATTGTGCGTTAGTAGGAATATTTTTCAACTGTTCCTTTAAAAAAAAACGCTAGGTGTTTATAATAGAAGTTCACATGGTCTCGAAAATAAAATTTTTGGCTACCCTTAATACTCTATCAATTTTAATTTCAACCAGCAGCAGTTTGGTATAGTGGAATTTTTGTATATAAAATAACGTAATATAATGAGATGAGACGGAACTAAGATCACTGTGGTGGAAGACGTACTGACTGGTTTAAATGTACCTAGAATTTAAACTGGTTTACAACATTCCCCTGTCTCGAAAAACGAATTCCCTCCTCTTTATATCTACTCTCGCTGTTTCTCCCACGGCTTCGCATTTGAATAACACTCTTCTTGTCAGCGAGTTAAATTCAGTGCAGAAATCTTTTAGGAAATAAATGAAATTTATAAAAACTGCTCAGAGAAAATAGTAAGTTCGCTGAGTGCCACAACTTCAATCGAAAGCGAGCTGTGTATTATATACTTCTGCGATGTAATTGTACATTTCCATAACAGTCTGAAAAAAACGGTCATCGTTGAAGGAATTCTGCGGAAAGAGACATGGGATGTAACACCCAGGTAACCCCTGTCTTTTCACTAACATTTGGCCGTACATTCAAGATTTGTTTGGGAGGCTATCTGTGCTGAACAACAATGTTAGCACTATCGAGCTTAGATTTTTTTGCGGATGAAAAATGAATACTGTGCGCCGTTCGGAGTGATTTCAGAGATCCAAAAAGTCGAATCTGGAAACATAAATCTGCGGCTTTAGCAATTCAGTGCAAATGAATCGGAATTTGCATGAGCCTAAAAGGGAGTGAGAAGAACTGCATTTGCCAAATTTGTTGTAATTTCAGGCAAATAAACACCATCTATCATAGTGAGACATTTCCCAGTTCATTCTTTTTGCTGCATTACTTTATTGATGCCAGATGTGTATTCCATTCTCTCAGAATGAAATAAAATAACAGCGGCGTAAGGGCCAGTGGAGAGAAACACTTACTAGAAAACTTCACATACATTCTCCTGAATCCTATCAACAAATAACCAACAGCAAAAAAATATATTTACTTACTTGAATACTTGAACAACTGTGTGTCATAGAAGTTCGTTGCTGCACCATCGATGCAGCTGGCAATTTCTCCATTTGCCTCGTTCTTGCGCTCTCCGAGACCACGTAACATCGTGCAGGTGTATTACTGGGTTTTTCCACCATGCTGGAGTCTTCCAGTGTTCGTTTGACCGCACGTGAATACCATTCCACCATCCACTTCGTCCACCTGCTGTCTGCCATCCTGTCACGTGGCCAGCCTACCTCTTCTTGATGGCGTGCATTCCTTTGATGATATCCTTCAAAACAGATCTAACTCGGAATACTTCGTTAAGAATGTGCTGCAGCTTGTTGACGCAGCCACAAGCGTCGCTCCTTTGCACATTGAGGCAGTACAAATTTCCGTTCTTCAGCAAGCGTGGTATTCCACATCTCATATCCGAATAACACAGCTGGTAATACGGTTGAATTGAAAATTGCTGTTTTTACGCCCTTTTTGCCGTAGAACCATGGAGGTTGCCGAAAATTACACACCCTGTTTTATCTCTCTCGTTATTTCGATGTCTAGGTCGTTGTTCATCTGCACTACTTGTTTCACTTAGGACAAGCAATTCAGGCGAACAACGACCTGTGCACATAAGTTCGATGGAATTATTGTCCAGTTTCACGCCGAACTGAAGACAGTAGGCTAATTGTGAGCCCGATTTTCTTTGTCTTCGCTAGGAGCTTGTTTAGCAAATTCTGCAACAACTAAGGGCTTTTTGCTACAAGGACGATGTTGTCTACAAAGAATAGAACTTGTAATTTCCCGCCATCGAAACTGATTCCATCTGTTACATCTATGCTCCCGAGAACACCTGCTAGAGCGCTGGTGAAAATTTTCGGAGCATAGATGTCCCCTTCCTTCATGTTCCGTTTTCATGCGTTTTTTTGCATCTGTACAATACGGAAAACGCATTACTGACGAGGGGTTGTCTATGTGTGTGCCTGTGTGCTCGTCTAGCGGACAGTTTCAATTCTCTCAACTAAAAGCATCTACCGGAAAAAAAAACAGTTCCATCAGCGAACGAAATCTGCGGCGAACTATGCAAAAAACGTATCTTCGCACTGGCAGTCAGTGCGCTGACCATTCATTTGCAGCTGAACAATGCAAAAACGCATATTCACGAGGGATTGACTGCGTGTATGTCTGCATGTATGTCTGCAGCAATTTTTCATCTCAAGACCGCACAAGCCACAGGATTGAAATTGGGAACTTGATCTACATGCATGTGTGGGCCTCAATTCTCAAAACGGGCGCTCTCACACACGTGGTACTTTGGTGGGCTGTTAACTCGGGAACCAAAAAAGCTAAAAAGCTTAAATCCCCGGGGAGCGTGCCTTCCATGTACGGGTCCGCAAAAGTTTTGAGCGGGCAAATTGCCAGCTCAGGAACCTGGGAAACTTAAAGACTGGAATTTTGAAGGGATGTTCCTAGTCCAAGTAGGTATTAATGAACTAAACCCAGCCCCTGGATGTGCATGGTTTCTATGTACAAGCCCATGAAATTTTTTTGTGAATAAGCTACTAACTCGAGAACTAGGGAAGCTAGAAAGACGAAATTTTGAAGGCATGCTTCCTGTCAGTCCTGGCAGTCAGTCTCAATTCCTTTAAAAATTATTGGCGACGCGCACTGGGCGCACTACTTGAAAAATTATTGGCGACGCGCACTGGGCGGCCCCGTGCGATCATGCGTTTTTGCAGTGTTTCGTGCTGTAATAAGATCACTCGAAATTC